TATGAGAAGAGGAAGTACAGGCCTAGCTCTCATATCTTCATCCCCTAGATAGATCAACAGAACTAGAAGTGGTGATGTGCTAAAAAATAAGTCCCTTCGTTCCTGCATATATTTTATACTCCCTGCATATATGGCAGCACATCTTATGTTGTGGTTCGAGGACCCGATCCCCGCGTAGTGGAATGAAAACACGAGGACACGTGATATAAGGTTAATGGGCAAGAAAAGGCCACAACTTTATTGATTACAGCAAGTGTAATCAAAGACTGCATTCTCCTTGTCTCAAATAAGTTTCCCTCTGCCTCCTTAATTATTGGTGGGGATTTTAATGCAAGGCTAGGCCACTCAGACGAACAGTTAATCAAGGAAAGTGGAATGGGTCCCCTAAATGCTAATGATGAATATTGGCCCCTATTCAGGCGTCACTCACTTGACCCAGTCACCAATTTTGCTGGTACATGTCTTTTTTTAATGGCACTTAGATTAAACCTTGTTATTTTAAACGGCCTCTCCTCGGGGGACTGCCCTGGCCAATTTACTTACTGGTCAGGCCTAAGGCATTCTGTTATTGACTACATCCTTGTCTCCCAAGAACTTTTCGATGAATATATTGAATTTACTGTAGATATAAGAACCGAAAGTGACCATTTACCCCTAAATCTTAAAAGGACTGAATTTTGGGAACCCTCTAGATGTGGGCTTGTCCCGCAGACTCCTGATCCTAGCGCTTTACAACAAATAGGTAGATCCAGAATTAAATGGTCCCCTTATGTTAATAACCATTTTGGTATTTGGACACAATCAATGGAAGGTCAACTCCTCTGGGCTGATCTGACTTCCAACGACTACTGAAGAGACCTCCCCAATTGACCATTATAACACATTAATCCGAAAACTCCAACCGTTATTGTCAAGACCCAGAAGATCTAACCAAAATGACTCCCCTACCAACAAAAAATGGTTTGACAACGAAAGCACTCAGGCAAAACTTATACACAGGGAATGCTTTAAGGTCTTCCAGCAAAATCCTAACCCTTTCACTAAATTGGAGTTACAACTTAAAAAAAGAACTACAAAGAGTTATTAAAAACCAAAAAAAAGAACCGCAGACTCTCTCATCTGGCAGGCCCTCATAAAAGCGTCAATAGAAAAAGACAATTCTAACTTCTGGAAAATTATCTCCAGTCAAACCAAAGCTCCTAATGAGGGCACAATAATCCCTGCAAATTCATGGGAAGAGCACTATAAAGTGCTGTTTAGGGAACATCGTCCTTCTGCGCCGCTTAACATCCCCTTAGATAATGATACACCATGGCCCCCAACATCTGAAACTGAAATCGCTTCGCTAATTCTACAAATGAAATCTGGCAAAGCCCCAGGAAGTGATTTCATTGTCGCTGAACTTTTGAAAGCGCAAATAAACTGGTGGGCCCCGGTCCTTGCAAATCTATTTTCATATATAGACAAGACAACTGAAATCCCTAAAGATTGGGGACTAGCTATAATTGTTCCCATATTTAAAAGGGCAACCCCTCTGATCCATCTAATTATAGACCAATTAGTCTCCTGAATGTGATCTGTAAACTTTATACAAAACATCTATGCCTAAAATTATGGGAATGGTTAGATCATAACAACTTGCTAGAAATTGAACAAGCAGGGTTTACATCCGGACGTTCCACCATTGATCACTGCTTAGTGTTAGATTACTTTGTCTATAAGTATGCGAAATATTGGAAAAAGTCATTATATGCAGCCTTTGTGGACCTAAAGGCAGCATTTGATTCTGTATCTAGGAGCAGGCTCTGGGCCAAATTGGCCAATATGGGTATTAACAGAAGGTTATTACTTCTGATGATTAAGCTTCATGAGAACAATACCCTCCAGATAAGACTTGCACAGGACGGCAGACTCTCTAGAGAAATCCCAGTCCAAAGAGGAGTTAGACAAGGATGCCTATTAGCCCCATTCCTATTTAACATCTATGTTAACTCCTGGTCACATGCTGCCGTGAAATTGAAACCCACCCCCCTGTGTTCTCTAATGGCAGAAAAGTACCAATTTTAATGTATGCGGATGACGCTGTTCTTCTCTCTCAAACCAAAGTGGGTCTGAAACGTGCCTTAGGAAAGTTTAGTGACCAATGTAACACTGAACTGCTAACAATTAACTTTGCCAAAACCAAAATTGTACATTTTAACCGCTCCTTCAGGAAGGATAATTGGAGCGTAAAGGGAAACGCCATTGAACAGACTAAGACCTTCCAATATTTAGGCATTACTTTCTCTTATAATGCCAAATTCTCAGCACACTTGACCACATCAGCTATATCAGCAGAAAGAAGTGCAAATGCTATCCTTAGATTATTCAGAAGGAAAGGAGCTGGCTTCCTCCCGATGGCCCTAACAGTCTTTCAGGCAAAATCTTTAGCCCAACTTCTATATGGCTCTCAAATTAGCCCCTCTGCCAACCTTAAGACCCTTGAAACAGTACAATCTAAATTCTTAAGATCATTATTTGCTACCCCTAAGTGTACACCTAATGCAGTCTTAAGGCAAGAGGCAGGACTGCCCAGAGTGGAATTAAAAGTCTGGGAACAAGCAATATCCCTCTGGTTGAAAATCCATTACAATCCTAAGGGTCTATTACCTTGCTTCCTGGCCGCAGTTCCCTATCCTCCTTGGCTTATGCAAATAACTAACAAGATCAAACAAATTGGCCTAAACCCTGAAAATATTTTTATTGGAACTCTGAACAAGGCAAAAGCTACTATTACTCGGAGACTTTATGATATCGAATTACAACAAGAAGGCGCCCTACTCCCAGAGACGTATAGATGTTTAAAAGCTTGGCCTAATTTTACAGCTGCCCCTTACCTAACCAACATCACTAGCGAAGCCTATAGATGGGCTTTCTCTAGAGCCCGCTTTGAGACAATGCCCTCAGCAGTGCTGTCACGGCACATTCACGCGGGTTCCAATGCATGCGCGTCTCTGCCCTTGTATGTCTAATAAGGTAGAATCTGTCACACACATTCTTCTATCTTGCGAATTCTATAGTGAAGAACGAGGCTCAACTTATTTTACCGCTTCTATCAAAATTTATACCCCTTCAATATTATTTGGAATCCTCCCCTGAAATTCTTCGAAAATACCTCCTGGAAGATTCCTCAAGCTCAGTATCATATGAGGTGGCTAAATTTTGCACTTTAGTAATTAAGAAACGTAAATCTCTTCTGTCGAATGGCACACTGCGAAGTTCCCTTGTGTAACCTTTTTTCTTTTCTGAAGTTGTTGCTGATTTCTTGTTGTCTGATCTTGGGATGTTTAGTGTCACTGGCTTTGGCCGCAATAAACTTGAACTTGAAACTTGAAACTTGATTACAGCAAGTGAAAAGGTATTGGCTTAGGCATTGGATTACGTCAGCTGACTCCACCCCCTCAGAGAGGGGTGAGTCTAAAACAGGGGGGTTTATTCACCAGTAGGTGGAGCCTGTTGATGCTAATCCAACTATAAGGTGACTCCCTGATATCACCAAGGGTCGTGCCATGGCCTCCCGCCACGCAGGCATCGGACAGAATACACGACCACCGGATTCCTTTAACGGAATACCCAAAATTGAAGGCGCAGGCGATGGCCACACCTAGCCCTTTGACACACCACAACACATTATTCCAATGCCTAATCACCACCCATTGCCTAATTAGAAGTTAGCCATCATATCCTCCCATGATATTTCCATTGCCAGCTTTCTTTGAGTCCTACAATATGCATAACACATAATGGAAATGGAGGGGGATAAAACCAAACTTGAACTAAATATATTCATTAATAGATGGTGGCTGGACGTAGCAGAAGACTGGCATCTTGTCAAATTTAAATTACATCATGCATGAACTAGGAACAAGCTCTTTTCTCAAACCATTTAAGTCACCCTTTTGTAAGCAAGCATCAAAGCACAAACATATTTTCACCAGTTTGATGTATTTACTTCTGGCAGTCAATGCCTGCTGTTAACACACACTGTCATTTTGTTGGGACCTCCCCCCTATTATTTTTTATTAATGTCAGCACCTGGAGGAGGGGGTGTCAAATCTCACACCTCTGCAACAACATACTTGACCTAAGACCAGTGCTATTTTTCTAGAAAAAGAGGTGCCGGAACTCACCGTGAACATCTCCCTTGTTTCCTTATAATGGCAATGGCGCCCACATGAGAGGTGCTGGAACTGAGTTCCAGTGAGTTCCGGCTGGAAAAAATCCCTGCCTAAGACCATTAGCAGGAAGGGGAGCTGTCAGCCCCTTCCTCTTGTTTCCAGTGTTGCCACTGATACCTCATTTGCAATCTGTGTACTCATCTTTCTCCTCTACTCTGCTGCTTTTCAATTGCTGCAGAATAAAGCATTCTGAAACATAAAAATGCTTTTTTTATTAATTTATTCTATAAAACCCAAGCTTAATGCCTGAGAGGAGAAAATGAAGGGAGGGATGCAGAGAGAGAGAGAGAGAGAGAGAGAGAGAAGGAAGGAAGGAAGAAGTGATTGATTGACTGACTTTCTAGGTTACTTTACTCTATAGCTCTATAGCTCCCGGAGGTGAAAAGACTCACTCAACTCCAGGACTTGAAGCAATCGATCTTTTCTTCAAACTCTTTATTTATATGCATAGTGTGGGTAAGCAATACACAGCATGATGAAAGATGTACCTCATAGAGTGATCAAAAGGTGCACGTCTGCCTATGACATAGAAGACATTAACACAGAGACATGGGCTAAGTGGGGTTTTTAAAGGGGAGGATATCAGAGTGCTGTATCAGAGATGTGTCTGTTAAAAAGCACCGCCCATTCCCAGTGGTGCTGTGGTGAATTCTGAGCACAGAAGCTCATCATGAGAGCCTTCGTAGTTTTGCCTACAAGCAGAGCTCAAAAATGAAGGATGCTGTGCCAGTCCATTATTTTATACACACATGCAGCCGATGCTTGTTACTTTATACTTTTAAGTCAAGATGCCAGGATTTGAACCTATGACCTTCAACATGCAAAGCAGCTGTTCTACCACTGAGCTATGGCCTTCCCTTGAATGCAGGATGGTACATTTTACCAGATCAGGCTACTTGTTCAAGGAAGCTAGTGGTATCTATTCTGATTGCTGCTGCCATATCATTTGCTACTTTTGTGATGACAGAGACTGAACCCAGAACCTTCTCTTTGCAAAACAGGTAGAATCATAGAATCATAGAATCATAGAGTTGGAAGAGACCACAAGGGCCATCGAGTCCAACCCCCTGCCAAGCAGGAAACACCTGGTTGGTGGTTATTGTCCCTCTCTTTCACATACCTGTCATCCCCTGGGCATACAACATGTGCATCTCAAAGCAGTATTCTGGTTTGGATACTGTAAAATACTATTTCCCATTCTTAAAAGGCCCAAGAAGCAGGGCCAGCTCAATAATTTTTTTCTGCCCAAGGTAAAGGACAGAAGTGCACACACGTCCCATTCCATATGTAGAAGTCAACTAGCCTGACAGTTGCATGTTAGTGTCCTCCGTGGCCCTTGAGTAGCAGGCTGTTTAGCAGGTGTAGTTTAGGGAAGCACCCAAAGGCAACTGGCTAATTTAGGGAAATGCTGCAACCCCAGCATTTGCTACCTGAGGCCTTATTCTCCCTAATGATAGGGCTGGCCCTGTCAAGAAGCAGGGCTTAATAGACAATACATATCTTGTCAAGCAAATAGCTACTGTACATATGAGCAACAACCAGCAGGCTAAAAGGATGTCTGACCTGCCCACAAATAAATGGGTGGATATTCATGGAATACCAAGTGGTGATTTACAACCACTTTTGCTATGAGGCAAGCATAGTAGCTGTAAAAGCAGCTTAGGCAGAGAGGGGCTTCTGGGTAGCAAGAGGAGCGAGGAGGAGTTTCACGCCAAAGATCTCATGGCAGCATGATTTCGTTTTGTACATACATAGCATGCAAAGACAAGGTGACTGGGGAAATTAATAAGGTTGTGACTGCTGAGGGAATTCCAAGGGCAGCACGCAGAGAAAAATCAAATCACAGCTTAGTTTTTCATTACATTTTCCATTAATATCCAAGTTGTTTGGGGGCAATTCAGATTACAGCACATCACATGAGCTTCTCTTACAAGGAGTGTTGCTACCTCTTAGCTCCACTCATTCAGAACAGCCTGTAATTGCAATGTTGATTTGCAATACAATCAGTGGACCTGTCTGATGCAGACAGGAAACAGATGTCCTGGACTTATTCATATTTTTCCCCCAAAGCAGAGGTCATATCCAAATCTAGACCTTTAGCCCAGTGTCCCTGAGGTCAGTTTCTGGAGCTTTCTGTGTGAGGCTGTTGTGAGATCAGTTGCCGGCTCAGGTTGTAAGAGGAAGAAACAATGGCTGTGTTGACCAAGCAAGGGCAGAAGGGCAGGATTCTGATATTTCCATCAGCTTCCCAAGTAAAAGCCTTTATACAACCAACATATAGGGGTTGATGCTGCACATCCTTAATTCCAATCTGCACTTGCAATGGGTTTTGAAGCCTAAGCATTGGTGGTCCAAGATAGCTCAGCCTCAAAGCCCCAGAGTCAGTAATTCCCTGAGGGGGCAGTGGAATTACCAAAGGGGGTGCTAAGAGGCAAGGGGGCAGCAGGGGGAGCACTGAAGATATAAATGAGTACCAGACTTTGAAAAGTTGGCATCACTGGATCAAATTCATCAGTTTTGTTGGATTATTTAAATTAAATATTTTTAATTGGATTTTGAATAAATGTGCAATTGATCATTACTATTTCGAATTTATTGTGTTATTATCACTATTCCTATCTGATACCAACAGCACCAAGAGATAAAGGCAGGCCTGTGGTTGCAGGACTATGGAGATCTTCAAGTAAGCAACTTGCTCCAACAAAGGCTGGAGGTGAACTGAGACCTTTACAGCACCCTCCAGTCCACCTTTCCCAAATTCTATGCCCCCAGCCCAAAGGCTGTGGTTCTTAAAGGGCCAATCCACTGACCTAAATATGAGCAGGTGTCTTTCTGTGGCCTCCCACATAGAATACTCCCTGTGCTGTTGGGTAGTTAAGTTCATGGAGAACTTGATTTCGCCAGCAGCTTAGTGTCCAGGGATGGAATCTGCAAGGATCCTACTTCAGGCTCTGCTGGCTCTGGACAACAAGCCTTAGGTTCTTTTGGCTCCAAACTATCTGTCTTGGGCTCTGTTTACTATACATTCAATCCATGTGCAATCTGTACATGTAAGTGGTTCAGTTACTCACATGCAGTATTCAGCAAGTGTACAGCTTGTGTACCTGGGTACACAAATAGTTGAGCCATCCAAAGCAATGAGGGTACACTCATTCACACAAACAGTTGCATGTGTGTAGAGAAAGATCATACCTGTGTTCAGTTTTAACATCTGAACAAGGCTCACATCACCTCCCTTTTGTAACAAATATATTTGCTATTTTCGGCGCAATGCAGTGGTTTTTATTTATAAAGCCCTAAATCAGATTACCTGAAGCCTTCTTCCATATCATAATCCTGCCCTTCCACAGAGGCCTTTCTCATTGCTTGGCATTTGAAGCCCCCAGTTATTTTGGCTGCTGTGGAATTTAGCCCATCTCCCAGCTGTTGCTAATCTGCTCAGCAGCCACTTGAAATATTAGACAACTTACTTCTTGGGGGGAGAGGGGTCTGTGTGAACCAGTGCTGGATGCTATCAACACACATCATTAGATAATTGTTTATGATCCACTACTTGATTTCATGCTTCTATCTAATTTGAATATCAGGAAGTTATGCCGCTGAAGAAAGGCAAAGTTGTCTCTTCTTGGTTTAGGCACCTGTGTGACTTTTTACAATGCTGTCTCACCTTAGGGAAATAACAAAGTTCATCAGCATCATTATGTTATTTGAGTATCGAATGAATCTACTGAGCATCTACAGTAGTAGAATGTATTTATTTTGGGGGATTGTTGTATATCTAATATATAGCAATCTCCAAATTCTGACTCACCGGTCGGTGACCTGTGGGTTATTACTTTTCAATACATATTTAATGCCGTGAACATTAGAGGCAGAAGGCTGAGTTCCTCTATGAACATTTGGGCCCACTCAAGATGAGATAAATAAAGGCAGTTTAATTCACACCAGTGCTCCCACATACAATTCAGCAAACCAACAAACAAGGACTAAATGATGCATTAGGACCAGGTTAAGGGGTTAAGGGGAATCCTCAGATTCTAAAGGAATAGCTAGTACTAAGTACTATTAAAGGCTGAGGAAATAAAGTGAGCAACAATGTGGTCTGGAATGTTACAAGCACAAAAAGATAGGTCTGAAAACCGAATGGCATCTAAGCAATCAGCTAGTCTACCACTAATGAATTCAATAGCAGTAAAGCCCATTTTCTTCTGCCGGCTTTTCTATAAACAATTTACAGTGCAAATGTATTTTTGAGGGATACAAATTCTCCTGTATTAAGTTTCTTTGCAAACTGTTTCTAGATAACGACAGCCATGAAAGGCTGTAAACAGTTTTTGGAGCTACTTTGAGAATACTTTTTTTCTTTTTTTAGTAGATGAATTCTAAGTGTTGAGAGTTGGTTCAAAGTATAAGTGTGTTTAGCAGAAGGAAATGATGGCAGACTGAGAACAAATTTGAAAGAATGCATGCATTCAGTGATAGGCCTGCTGCTACAAAATAGCGTATTGCTGTGAATGGAAATCCAGGGCATAATTCCTCTAAATTGACTGTATGAGAACTCAACAATACTGCAGGAACTTTCCAAGTGACTTATCGGCAGTTGCAGGTGTGTACAGTGTAATGTAGAAGACTAACATAACTTACTTGGCAATGAGTCCCACTGTTTTAAACTGCAAATGCATTTTGGATCAGGGTGTAAGCGAGCTAAATCCAGGCATCCACTGGATTAAGTGTGTTGCACTTCTCATTTGTTTCACATTCGCATTAGATACTGGTCTTTGGGGTGAGTTCAGGTGACCATGAACACATTTCCAGTTTCAAATGAGCACTCACACTTAACATTGTGGGTGCCCTTTGCGGGATCACACGTGGTGCCACAGTTCCCAGGAAAACAGGGACTGGCCTGCCCCTCAGTGTTAATTTTTGGAGGTTCACGCCCAGCATCAGTAGTCAAGTTTCATTACTGGGAGGTGGCACCAGTCCCATTTATAAATAGGGGGTGGAGCTGACAGTAGCCAGGCAGTCGGCTCAGGAGATTCACCCTCCCTACCCTCCCTTAGTTTAATGTTTTATTGTTTGCAGGTTAACTTTTTATTCCTGTTTAGCAGGCACTGCTGCTGTCTATGGCTGGTTGCTGTTGAAGAACCAGAAAGAAATTTTCCTGCATTGGCACGTTGTGTCTTCCCTGTAGCAATTTGTCACAACTTTGGTGGTTATGGCCTTGGGTGGAATCCTATAGTCTTTTCTTCTCTATATTGGGGTGTGTGTGTGTGAAGTGGTAACTCACCCCCCTGTGGCGGCAATTCCAGGGTCCTCTCTTAAAGGGGGTTATATACTGTAATGGGTGTCACTGGCCATACACTGAAAGGTTGTCAGTGAACTACCCTGCGTGCGGTGATACGGGCTCGGCTGCCTGCTACACTTACGTCTCACAGAGCACCCCCATATCCCATTTACCCTGATGTTCCTTAGTTCATCCAGCTGGGGGACTGGGAGGGATAGACACCCAAGGCCTAAGCCAAGGTCTTCCTACATTCGGAAGTTTAATAAAGTTGTGACCTAATTTTAATTCCATATAACATTTTCAGATTCTTTATTCCTTCTTTATGATCCCTGGGGACTGGGGCTGTCGCTGCCTGGTCATGCAAATAAGAAATATGTAACCACAATGTTTCTGTGTAGAGATATAGGAACTGTTTTATAATCTGCAACCTGTAAAAGATAATATATATTGACATCTGTCTATAGAAAAACATTTAGATCTCCCTGTAGGTATATAATTTGAAAATAATCAAAATATTCAGAGTTGCAAAAATTCATTAGACTACATCCACCCCATCCTAGGCATAC